AGATTCAGGAGACCGCAAAACGTATATTTCCATTGAAAACTCAGATTCAAAAATTTTCACGTTCGCAATACTTTTCCTAACTATATATTAAATAAATAGGTAAGTGAAAGTAAAAATATTATTGTATCAATGAAACAATTTAATATTATACAGGATGTTATAGTTCTTAATGGTCAAACACTGGAGGGTGATTCTAGACAAAATTTCATTTGTCAACAAAACATAAAAGTTCATTTGATGCATGAGCCGGTTCTGAATGGAAAAGGAGTCACGAACAATTTTATGTGGTCACATTTTTTAGTTAATAAAAAGGAAATGCTCAAGAACTGTTCATGATAATAAAAATCTAAGTACACCATCGTAAAGTAGACAAAATGTTGAAAACAGCCACTGTAGAGAGATACTTCCGGTTAGCCGATTTAAAGAAAAAAATTACAGTAACATCTCAATCATCTTAAATACGTAATATCAGTTTTGTATGACTTTTCGTTTTTGAACTAGACTGACCACATACATACACACAGAGACCATTTTGCGGGACTTGGTTATTTTGGATCAGGAGACCTCCGATTTCCGTTAAAACTCAGATTCGAAAATTTTCACGATCACAATACTTACCTTCAGTAAATATATATATATATATATATATATATATATATATATATATATATATATATATATATATTGAAAATGTGTTAATTCATATGCTGTTCTCAAATTTTTATTATTGATTATGGTCAAATTTCGGCCAATTGGCGAACACTAGTATTTACTGAATGCGGAATTTATATTTTTACTGCAATAGTAACTTATCTATTGCCTAGACCGAGTAAATATTTGACATAGATATTTTGTGCTGGAGGTAGATGTGACTATTTTCTGATAGTAATCATATTACGCAAACAATAAGATTACAGTTGTCAAGGCAACATGCTTCCTGCTTCACATATGTTTAGTTCTCTATCAGCGATTCCCATCGTGCTAAGTCACGCCAGCTGTGTAATTGATCTAAAAAAGGTAATTCCTTCGTTATTTATATTTATTTACTAGTAATCGAGGAATACTTTTGATTTTGAAGTTACAGCCGTTTTGGCGCTACAGCGACACGAGTTTTTCGGTCGCCATTTCGAAACGAAAGGGCGGATAGTAACGAAATGTAATTAAAACAATACTGAATTTGATTGCAATGTTGTCACGAAATTCCAAAGCAACCGGTGGAGAACTTCCGAAGATTAGCGGTTTTAACATTTACATTTTTTGAAGTGAAAACTTCTTCTTTTGTACTTTTTTTATACTTTTTTTGTGGGGGAGTGAATTAGACTGAGCCGTCAGATATCCGATGTGTAACGCAAAAAGAGAAATATAATGTCGAAAACCACATGATAACGAATTTTCTTGAAGATATGGATTAACATATCTCAGAAACTGAAAATCAGACCTGCATATTGCAGGCAAGGGAAATGTTCAGTATTTCATCCTCTTTATAATTATTGATAATTTATATTTCATATTAGTAATCTCGCCTTGTGATGTTTTCATTTTAAACATGTGGTCTACAACACACACTTAATTTTTTCTGTATTTTTTCATAAAAGTGTATATTTATACTGTTTTGTTACTTACATAGTTTTAAGTGTCTTGTCACAGTTTTAAGAGTTTTGTATATAGTTACATTTGTTTGTATATAGTATGTTTACCTTATATTTTTTTTACTTTTTCCCTTTTTCTTTTTTTATATTGTTTTTATTTAGGTCAGATGTAATCTTTTAATTTTGTTCTATTTTGTTATTTTGAAGGGACTTCGTCTCAGAATAAAATCATTCTCTATCTATCAATCTAAAGTTTGTCGACAGCTACTAAAGAAAACAAAAAAACACCAGTTGAAAAACAGAGGAGGAGAGAAAGGGACTGCAGTGTTTTGTCTTTGCCTATTTATATAATGATGTTTATACTAATATATGCTGCTGAGAACCCTCATATTACTGAGTTATTATTCTCCTAATATAATATAACACGTTATATAATATATACAGGGTGTTTCAGGGATAAGTGGCCCAAACTGTAAAAATGAATTAAGGACCTCAAAACAAGAAAAAATTTCCTCTGAAGGTATTGCCAAAGCAAAGCAAACGCTTTATTTATGAGATATTCAAACCTAAAGATTTTCATCGTTATGAATTATTTACGTTATATGAAATAAAAATAATCTATTTATTTGTTCTAACTACTTTATTAATTAAATGTAAACGTTAACATTCATATTAAATTTTGTTCAAAGTGATTCCCTTGAGCATTAAGACAGGCTTGGCATCTTTCTTCAACAGCAGCAGTGGCAGAACGGTACTGGATATGTGTTATTGTTTCACAAGATTCAATCATCATCAATCAAGAACTTTTTAAAGTTCTCCCAGAAATGATTTTCTTTACTTATGCTATTTTATTTTCCCACGTTTGTATTATACATATCAGTACGTTTTTAGAGTAATTGTTTTATATTTTGTTTTATTTTTTTTCCAAAATCTTAATCTTAATAAGAAATGTAAATAATTAATTTTATGTATGGCCACACAGGCATTTATTCCGTATCTGTAATTTGTCCTAAAGGGACAACAGTCCCAGGATAATGAAAAATATTTTGATTTCATTTCATCATTCTTTGTAAGGAATTAAGACCATGGACTTGCATAGGTTTTTTATTTAATGTCACCACAAACAAAAAAATCCAGTGGTGTCAGGTCTGGAGAGCGTGCAGGAATCCATTAATGAATTCGCACAAGACCAATTCGACTGGTACAAAAGAGCTTTCTAGAGTAAAGAAGTCTAATGAGGAGACTTTTGAAAAATAAAATAAAATGTATCCCTTCTCGATTGCGCAACTTTTGATACCATTCAATTTTTACAATGAATTTTAATTAAGTGGTTTTAGGAACTTAAGGATTGAATTGTGAATTGATCACTTCTCCATCAAATTCCATTTCGTTTGATATTTAATTCACCAAAATCAATTGTTCCTGAGGGTCGGAAAAGAGATCTATCCTATCATATCACTTACAGTGTAAATATTGCTTCAATAATGGAAATATGGGCTCTGAAATGGAAATGTATTTGAAGGAATCTTATGCAGACGGTTGAAATTTGGATACAAAGTTGCAGGGATTGATAACGAAAAAATTCTAAAACATTGAAATAACTATGAACCAGCTTGACAGAGGAGTATAAGGGAGGATTTAGTGGTATTTATTTTCTATATTTAATATGTTGATGGCTATTAGTGTTGGCTAAGAGAGCACAGACTTTTGTAAATTTTTAATGTCAGGAATAACTATGCATCATATAAAACTAACTACGTTATATAACTCTAAATACATTAATATACAAGATCTAACTGAAATGCCTTCCATGCCATATATTATTAGTATATAATACAAGCATAAATATATGTGTACGTTTTTACTTTTACACTGAAATAACGAAATCCCGTTTAAATCACAATAAGCTTTAGCTGGAGTTTGCTGTTATGCGGCATAGTATAACCAGTGCGCCCGCCAGAGGTAAGAGAAACTTTAAAATAAATTACCCAGCTTTAATAAACCTCCTGCTTTAAATAAATAAATAAATATATATATATATATATATATATATATATATATATATATAGATATATATATATATATATATATATATATATATATATATTAATATCTATATATATATTCGCTCACAGTGAAATTGACACACCACGTAGACAAATATAAAACAGACTTAAACGGTTACATTCATTAAACAAATAAAAACTGTTCAACAGATTTATTTTTGTTTTCATTTTAAATATGCACAAAATAAATTACCGTAAATTAATTAAATTTAAATTTACTGTAAATTTATTGAAATAAATATTTTTCTGGAAAAATAGGACTTGCTTTTATAAGTCTTAAAGCCAAAAAAAAAATAATAAAAAAAATAAAAAATAAATTACTTAAAAAACATTAAATCGCAGTCAAAATGATACACTTCACTTCTTATTAAATTTTAAATACTATTAATTTAGTTCATTACCTTGTAGGCAAGCCATTATTTCTATCACTTTTTTCAGTCTGTTTGTAATGGAGTCAATGTGTATGTAAGATTTCCTTCACCAGAAGTCGCCATACAGCTTTACCACGATGTTTATTGATTACAATAAATTATTGTTTTTAATATTATATATATATATATATATATATATATATATATATATATATATATATATATATATATATATATATATATATATATATGTATAATGATTCAGTATAAATTTTATATTATATTTATCAGTACCCAACGAACCAGCTAAGGAAATTATTGTAATCAATTAGTTATGACATAGATATGAAAAAAAATGTTTGGGTTGGTGTAAAGACATTTTTTCTATAACGGTAATTATTGCGAAATAAAAAGTTAGACACTATATAAAATTATGTTTAAATGTACTTAGTAGACCTATACAAAAAAAAAAAAAAAAAAAAAAAATGCTTTTAGAGTTAAATTATTTATATATTTTTTTCTTGACATGTGCTTGAATGTAGTACTGTATATACGTTATATTTTAAAAGGAGATGATATTTTAATTGTTTTTATAATAAGTATTTAGCTCAGATCATTCAGAGGAACAAATATGCACCAATGAAAAAACATTTTTTTGGGAGGAGGGTTTCTGCCCGAAAGTGTTCACAAGTGTTGTACATAAATTGATTTTTAATTTTTTTTTCTCCTCTCCTTCCAACTTATTTATATGTTCTAAAATTTCATCATCATTGTTAACATAAATAATAGAAGAAGAAACTTTTTAAAAAACGTCAACCATGTCACTATGGCCTGGCTGCTACGCTACGCTGGTTCACAACGAACCTAAACAGCTGACACCTCAGTCCTAGATGGGTCGCTTAACAGTCCGAAACTGGTTTACAACCTGTCATAAATTAAAAACAAACTAACCACCGCTAATTACCTTGGTGGTGATGGCCGTGCTGAGAGTTGGCCTGAGTCTGTTCCTCGATGCTCCACGTGTACTCCATGAGATCGGGGTGGAGCGGATCCTGCCTATTACATCTGACAGAGGATCGATGAGCGGCGAACTCGAAGAACGGTCGGCTGTGGATACCCTCGTTATTCGTGGTCTACTGTATCGGCCGTTCGATGGGGCGGGGGTGGGGTTGTCCTGCCGACCAATCAGGGGGCGGGCTTAGACCAAGATGGCGGCGGCCCTCACAGAACGGCCATCCCCAAGAATGGACCCTCGCGATTCCCCTTTTAGATCCGGTCGATATCTTAGAAAGAGGTTTGAGGAAAGGTTAGATGTTGTGCAACACAGCTATTACTTTGGCAACTAGCGCTTAAGACATTGGATCATTGTACTCTTAAGTGAGAGATTTATTTAGGATGATAAAACAGTTGAACAACTTCATACCACGAGAGGCCAGAGGGAAGAACTATAACTTAAAGGAAGGTCCAACGGAATTCATTTACTTCCAAATCAATAAACCTTAAACTGAATAACACTCTTCCATTCTGCGTCAAATATATTCTACATTTAATTTTTTTTTTAATTTGTATAAAATAATAATTTAATCACAAATATCATTAAGAAGTGAAGAACATAAAAACGAAGCGGAGGGGATCTTTGGTCCCAGGGCCCATATAATAAGGGAGCTCCAAAATAGTATAGTTTTTTTTTTACGGTTCTCGAAAATAAATACCACATGGACTCCATTTCTAAGGGGGCCTGACATTTTACTCAGATCTTTTTAAAACGGATTCAAAAATGAATGCACCTCAGGTCACAAATGTTCTAGTTCCACGGCTCTTTCGCCAATTGATTAACGTAGCAATATTGCACTGTATTTCTCAATAATCCATGGTACAGACCCCTTTTTTTAAAATTATTAACATCTGCCTGAAACTTCGTAAATAGTTTCATCTCACCGTAACTATTAACAAAAATTCTGGGATTTGGGTTTTTTTTTTTTCTTTTTTTTAGGAAATTTCTTTATTGAGATATATTACAAACTGTCACATTCAAGGACAATAGTAATAGTGATAAAGGGTAGCTCATTCATACTATGCACAATAAATAAAAATAATAAACTGCATTATAATAATAATAAAAGTAAATGTATATACAAGATACTAAACTAAACAAAAATAAGGTAATCTAACAAAATAAATACTTAAATATACACATGCTTTTATACAATATTTATATAAGTTTAATCTCATCGTAACCATTTAACTATTTACAAAATTCTTGGAATTGGGGAATTTTAAATCTGGAGATTGGCAAACTTTGTCTATTTAGTTAGGTACTAAAAACTCGTAAATACCTATTTCCTTTCAACATGAATCATAAGATAAATTAAGCACAAAATTAGGAGATGGCCTACAAAAATATTGAGCCGTAAACCTCTACCTACACCCCCAACATGTTAAAATAACGAAATTTTATAAACCCCTCCTTCCAAAGACAATATTTCCAAGGTACGTTCCTCTATCAAATCGTCAACAATCATCGTCCTTCTTACGCCTACAACCTTCTCCAATTCAAATCCTCAGTCCATTCCCTTTCCACAAGATCTCGACCTTCTAATCTTTACATGCCTTCTCAACAATATGCCTCATTCCAAAACTCCTTTATTGCTCGCTCTGTCAATTTCTGGGATTCCCTCCCTATCAAAATTCGACCTCCCCCTTCCATATCCACATTCAAAACCATCCTATTCCAATTCCTATCCCAAAAACAGTCAGATAGTTGCTAGCCATTCGACAATGGTTTATTCGACAATGGCTAGTATCTTTTATATACTACTAAATTCTTGCCTATCGTTACGTTAAGAAATTATGTATGAATGAAATGTATTTATGTATTAATTAACATTTAAATGATAATGTATTTATATATTAATCAGGCACTTTATATTTTCAGGTCCAGCTTTCTTAAATAATTAAAAACATCTTAAATTATTTACTTTTTTTTTCTTCAATTTAGGTCATAAGACATATCCTAGGTTGCAAAGGAACTATTTTCGCCTATTACAGAAGATTAATCAACAATATGCAAACGATAAGAAGACAGTTTTCAAATAGCGAATCGCCAATTTATGACAGAACTGAAAAAGAAAATGATTCATACATTAAATTTGAACTATGAATAACAAATGAATCCGAAATTAACATAAACATTCTGAGAAAAACAATCCATTCTAAAAATGTCATAATAAACTAATGAATAATAAATTAACAAGAATCCTAAGTTAATATTAGCTCTTGATTAACACCTAACATTGGATAAATTTTAGTACTCACCAATTACTGGACTAAATTGAAAAGGCTTGATTAAAATGAGCTAATGTTATTTTTTGTTGAAATTAAGATGAGGTGAAAATTTAGACATAATATTGAAAAATAAAAATTGCATGGCCAATGAAAGATGTTGTGCAATTTCCATTAATAATCCGTAAGTACCTAAGATTACAAGTATTCATAATCAACAGATGACTTAATGAAAATAATGGAAACGACATGTTATATAGATTTTCTTAATTAATTGATCTATACCCCAACATTTTCAAAATAACGAGGTTATATAGGACAAATGGCCAATGTTTTAGTAGGCTACCATTTTTATCAATTTTGTGATCAATTGATCTTACGATCCAAGAAGAAATGAGTATTTACGAGTTTTTATTACCTAATTAAATAGACAAACTTTGCCTTCTCCAGATTGAAAACGCTCCAATTGCAAGAGTTTCCGTAAATAAAATAGTTTTAGGTTACGATGAGGTGAAACTATTTACGAAGTGTCAGGCGGATGTTAATAATTCGATAAAAAGGGGTCTTTACCACGGACTATAAGTGAAAAATTCAAAGGCGCGAGATTAATAATATAAAATATAAATTATAACTATCTAGGGAGCGCTACCATTGGGAAGTGTATCCACTAACCTGTTTATGCCATTACTTGATTGGCTCATATTTATTAGTTGTATTTATTTAGTACAGTTGTTAATTTCAATACATAAATAAAGAAAAAAATGCTTCGGATAGATAGATAGATAGATAGAAAATAACTTTATTCTGGGACACAGCAGCCCCTTGAGAATAACAAAATAGAAAAAATTAAAAGATTACATCTGGCCAAAATAAAATCAATCGAAAAAAAGAAATAATGCAAAGAAAATATAAGGTAAATATTCTATATACAAAACAAACGAAACTATATACAAAACAATTAACACTATGACAAGACACTTAAAGCTATTTGCACTGATAGACCAGTATACACTTTTAAGAAAACATTAAAGAATTAAAATATAAAAATATATCAAATTCTTTATTAAAATCAGCTTTGTGTTTTTGTTGAGAAAACAGAAAGTTGAATCTGACAATATAAAGTGCCTGATTAATATATAAATACATTATCATTTAGTATTGATAATTGACAATGACTGGCATGAAAAAAATGAACGTTGTCGAATGGTTAGCTACTATCTGACTGTTTTGGGATAGGAATTGGAATAGGAGGGTTTTGAATGTGGATGTTAATTTCATATATATTTGTTATTCATAGTTCAAGTTTAATGTATGAATTATTTTCCTCTTCAGTTCTATCATAAATTGGCGATTTAATCTTCTGTAATAGGCGAAAATAGCTCCTTTACAACCTAGGATATGTCTTATGACCTAAATTGAAGGGGAAAAAAGTAAATAATTTAAGACGTTTTAAATTATTTAAGAAAGCTGGACATTATAAAATTCCTGATTAATATATATATACATTATTATTTAAATGTTGATTAAGATATGAATACATCATCATCATTTCTTAACGTAACAATAGGCAAGAATTTAGTTTTGTATAAAAGATAATAGTTATAAACTACCAATAGATAGGTTCAGTGACATCAAGAGTAGGAAAATCTTTACCATATAAGAAAACTAATATCTCTAGCAAAGAATAGCATTGATATTTGACAATGAATATCATGAAATAAATGTATGTTATCGAATGGTTAGCAATGATCTGTCTGTTTTTGGAATAGGATGGTTTTGAATGTGGATATGGATGGGGAATGTTGAAGTTTGATAGGGAGGGAATTCCAGAAATTGACAGAGCGAGCAATAAAGGAGGAATGAGGCAGATCTGTGAGAAGGCATGTTAAGGTTAGAAGGTCGAGATCTTGTGGAAAGGGAATGGACTGAGGATTTGAATTGCAGAAGGTTGTAGGCGTAAGAAGGACGATGGTTGTTGATGATCTGGCAGAGGAACGGACCTAGGAAATATTGTCTTCGGAAGGAAGGATTTATATAACTTCGTTATTTTGACATGTTGGGGTTATAGGTAAAGGCTCAATATTTTTTAAAGCCCCCTCGTTTCTCGATTTTGTGCTTAATTTATCTTATGATTCAAGCAGAAAGGAAACGGGTATTTATGAGCTTTTAGTACCTAACTAAATAGACAAAGTTTGCCGATATACAGATTAAAAATTCCCCAATTCCAAGAATTTTTGTAAATAGTTGTAGGTTACGATGGGATGAAACTATTTACGAAGTTTCAGGCAGATGTTAATAATTTTATAAAAATGGGTCTGCACCACGGACTGTAGAGAAATACAGTACAATATTGTTACGTTAATTTGGCGATTGAGCGGTAGTATCTAGACCATTTGTGTCCTGAGGTGCGTTTATTTTTGAAGCCGCTTTAAATAAATCTAAATAAAATGTCAGGCCCCCTTAGAAAAGGTGTCCATGTGGTATTTATTTTCGAGAACCGTAAAAAAAACAAAAAAAAACTATACTACTATCTCTATAATACTCCAAGAAGGTTGAAACGGCAGTGGCCTCGCGACCTTTCGTAGATTGTATATATTGGAGTTCTGGCAATGGCCAGATTCTCCACTCAAGAAATGTGTGTATGTGGCAAAAGTGCTCTCGATCAATCTGGTACCAGTACCAGTGATGCTGTTGAGGGAGTAGTGCAGGGTTCTCCTCTCTTCTCCCTTGCCTGATTGTATGCATGTGTTTTTTAGTTAGTTTTAATTTTCTTTTTTTTAGGTTATTTTATTTATTGTATATACATTTGGTTATTATTTATTGTTATTTGGTTCTATTTATTTTATATGGCTTAAGAAGGACGATGGTTGTAGGCCTGGAGATGGTTGTAGGCCTGGAGAAGGTTGTAGGCGTAAGAAGG